CTTTCCCTTTATTTTCAAGGTTAAATGATTTCACGTATAGTCTTTCTTCTTATTGTAATAAGTCAGGGGCTCTAAGGTCTTAGATTTGGAAAGGGACAGGTGAGGTCATTCTGTACCAACAGATTGGTTTTTAGATAGTTCTTTTTAGTGAAAAAAATTTTTAAATCTATCTTTTTAAAAAAATTGTGGTGTGAGTGTGAGGTCAGAGGATTACTTGTAAGGTTGATACTCTCTTGCTGCCATATGACTTCTGGGACCATACTCAGATCCTCAGCGAAGGTGGCAAGCACCTTTACTCTAAGCCATCTTACCAGCTCTGCACTTTTTTTTTTCAAGTGTAGAGCTAGTAAGTTACTTGCCAAGGATAGTTACTTGTATCCAGTGTTCAGTGTTGGCTGCATTTGGAACCATCCCTGTGTGATACTTAAAGACCCATGGTACCCAAGTCTTACCTAAGATGGTCTTGTGGAATCTGTCTGGACTAGAGTCATATTTCAGCATTGGAAAGTGGTAGATGTATCCCAGGAGTTCTGAGATAAATTTGGGGTTGAAAGTCATTGCTCTAGCATACTGTCTTAGTCAGGGTTCTATTTGTATGATAAACACCATTAACAAAAGCATCTTGGGGAGGAAAGGGTTTATTTCACCTTATAACACAGTCCATCACTAAGGGAGTCAGGACTCTAAGTAGGAACCTAGAGTCAGAAATTGAAGCAGAGATGGTGGAGAAACACTGCTCACCTGCTTTTACTTCCTGGATCACCAGTTTGCTTTCTTATATACCTCAGTACCACCTGACTAGGGTGGTATCACCTACAGGGGACTAAGCTACATTGATCACCAGCCAAGATAATGTCCATAGGCCAGTCTGATGGAGGCATTTCCTCAGTTGAGGCTCCCTTTCTCAGATCATTCTAGCTTATATCAAGTTAGTGTACAGCCAGAACATACACCCTGTTCCCAATTTTTTTTTGCATTGTCCAGATGGTGTAGTCCATTAAGCTCCAGTGTATTTTAAGGGCATGCAGGCAACAGGCAGGGTTCCCTCTAGAACATAACTTTTGACGGCCTGGATGTGTAGGACCTGCTGCTGCTAGGACTGACTTAGATCCAACACGTAATTCCCCAGGCCTGACTCTCAACAGCTTCCTTTGGGAATTTGGAGTAGAGCTGTGTGGATGGAAGGTGTGAGTGTGCTTGTCATAATCTGGTGGCTCTCAGGAAGAGGAATAAGAGGAAGACTTGCCTTGCTGTTACCAGACTTGATGCCACATAGCTGTCCTCCCTTCCTGCTCTTGCTCTTTTATGCTAATGTTGCCTCTGGATGACTGCTGTAAGGATGATAGTGATGACGGTCCTGTGGCCTCAGGTCACTTAGTGTTATTTCCTCCCTCCCTTCCTATCTCATCAGGTAGCCTAGGCTGGCATCAGCCCTGAGTAGCCCTCCAGGCTCAGCCTCCTGGTATTATATGCCTGTGCTACCATGTTTGCTTTACTTGATTCTTATCGTGTACATCACCATGGTCTTAAACAGTTCTTATTTCACTCTTGGGGGACAGGGGTCGTTATCATCCTCCAATATCCAGACATCAACCTAGGCAGCATGAAAAATTGGACCACAGTGTCTTAAGGACCTTAGACCAACCTTAGAAGATATGAACATTTCTGTCAGTTCTCAATAAACATAGTTTTCTGATCTCTGAAAGTAGCTTATACTTCACACCCTCGCAGTCTGAAAGCCTGCCATGCTGATGTTACTTCCCTTTTCTGTCTCCTGCTAATGTTTAGTTCTTCTTGTGTTTGTTGTTCTGGGTGAAGTACAGAGTAGATGTTGGAAGCTGAGGTCAGCACTGTTGGACTGCCGAGACTCAGCTGAACCTGATCCGTCAAGATGAACCCTAATGTTGCCTCATTAGTGTTGTTTGAGGAAGGAGAACGGCATGGGCAATTCTTAAGACAAAATTTAAATAAAACTATATTCTAGGGCTGAAGAGATGGCTCAGTCAGTAAAGTGTTTGCCTCACAAGCATGAAGACCCAAGTTTAATTCCTAGAACTTGTGTCAAAAAGCTGGATGTGGTAGCGAGTTGGGAGACAGCCAGCCGAGCCTGCTTAGTGAGATCCAGGTTTGAGAGAGACCTTGTCTCACAGAAGAAGATGGACAACATCTGAGGAATGATGCCTAGTATTCTTTCCACCACTCTTCATCTTGTGCATCTGGAAAATGTTAATATTTTCTGGAAATTATTTCCTAGTTTTATTATCTTTAGTTTGAAATAGAAAACTATATATACATAGTCTCTCACCGAATGTCTGTTTCAACTTCTGAGACATGAATTTGTTTTTTAAACTAAATGTTCCTTGCTATTCTTTAGTTAAAAGGGACTTTGCAGCTTCTGTCATTGAATGGAAAGGACATTTTGGTAACTGATGTCCCCTGTCTCCATTTTAAAAACAGGTTTTGTCGTTCATAAAACTTGAATGGCTTGTCACTGTGTCTGAATGCATTTTGTCTATGTAAAACTCAGGACCCAGGTGGACTGCTGGGAGATGACATCACCTCTTTGTCTGTGGGAAGGGAATGAGAATTCATGGCAGTCCTGTATGACACAGTGGAATTTAGCTGATTGTTCGGAAAGACATGTTTGCCTGTAATAAGTAGGATGTGTCTTTAAAGGTTCTGTTTTTCAGGAGTGTTGGGTTATTTGCAGTGAGTAGGACTCATTTTTCATAACATTCATATAACAACAGGAATACACTTCATCATGTGACTTTTTGCTAAAGGCGAATGAACCACAGCCCACTGCTCCTCTTCCAGGGGTGAGGAATGTTAATATCTCCATGGAGCTAGGTTTTTCCTGTTGGAACCATGACAACCATCTACTCTCACAAAGGGACTGGCCTCCCCAAACATGGAGCCCCACACACAAACATTTGACTTTCTTCAAGGCAATAATATTAGAACGAATTCCTTGTCTTTGCCAAACATAAGATTCATTGTGAGAAACTTCCAGCATTATATGGATTCAAGGATTCAGTTTCTCTCTTAAAATCTGACTTTCCATAAGCAGCTTTTGTAACCGACTTCTGTTAATTTCAATGTGCTTGTGACAAGTGTTGTTTTTGTTTTTGAGGTTCTCGGTTTTATTCTGCATGCTTGCCTTGCTCGGCTGGGATGGCCAGAGTTTCCTTGTGGTGGCAAATCTATCTCAGTAGGAGGCATCACATTACCTTTCTTGGTCATTTCCTCCTTTACTTTTGTTTATGCCTGTATCTCTTTAGAATCTGGTATCATTGCTAACTGGTTTGGACTGACCAAGTTCTAGGGATTCAGGGTGAAAATTGAACTGCTACTTGCTACGAACCCTGCAGAAAGATGCTGCTTTGGGCTGGATCTTAGGGGTATGAATGAATGGGGCAGCCTCCAACATCTTGTATCTTGCTTCTTAATCATAGCATTCCCCCCCCTGTGGGGGCGGGTTGCAGCTCTTTTGTATTAATAGGCCCCATATGAGGGGCCCTGTGGGAGAGTGTCATAGTTGGCTGAGATACACATTTGGCTGGTGTTCCCTCAGGACTGATAACTTTCTTCAGCTTGTCTTCAAGAGATTTATTGTTTCAACTTTGTAAACATCTGTTTTGCTTTGTGTGTCTTTTCTCAGTGGCATCAAGACTGTGACTATCTCGTTAATGTGATTCGGGTGTTGGTAGTCTCTTTTGTAGGAACAGAGTTTGTGTTCTTCAAAGCCGCATTAGTGCCCTCTTCTGGACTGAACACCCTTTAATGGATCTGCCTGTAACACCCAGCCAGAGCTTGTGTCACTTTCTGCCTGACAGTCAGCTCCTCCAGAAGTGGTTTGTTCTTCCATCCTAAACTGTCTGCACCCAAGTTACCAGGTGCTCTCCAGTGTTCTGCCCTGCAGTTGCATTTTCTGTTTACATCAATTAAAATGCACAGCTCTGTCTGTAATGCTCTTGTGGTGGTTTTTTCTTTTAAGCTCTTGCACTTTTTCAGCCCCATTCATTTAGTTGTCACTGCAGGTTTTTTGTTTGTTTGCTTGGTTTGTTTTTACAACTCAGTTATAATCTTTGAAGGAAACTTTTTGTTTTGTTCTGTTTTTGTTTTCCGAGACAGGGTTTCTCTGTGACTTTAGAGCCTGTTCTGGAACTAGTTCTTGTAGACCAGGCTGCACCATTAATGCCCAGCTGAAGGAAGCTTTTTTTTTTTAAACTTTAATATCTATCTCCTGGGGATAGGATATCACCAGCCTTTGAAGCCCACGCCAAGCTGGCTTCTCCATCTAGGACAACCACTTTCCCAGTTCTTAATACCAGATGGATCTCTTTGCTCTTGTTTCTGTGTCCTCTGTTGTCTCTGCTTCTTTGAGAGCCCTGTCACTCAGCAGTACAGTGAGAATCACCTATGTTGCTGTGTGAAACCCTGGGCTCTGTGTGCTCACTGTCAAATAAGCTGGTTTTTTTTTTTCCAATATGCAGTTAGTAGTCCCAGCTCTGGACTTTTAGGACTAATTGTGACTAAATAAGATTCTATTGGGTCTGTAATAAAGAGTGCATACTGCAGTCAGAGCTGAGTTTTCATGCTCAGGCAGTGATCTGGGTTGGATATACACACATGTCGCAGGCATTGTCAGTCACTTCACCTCACTAGGTGCTCAGGTAGCCATCCGTGAAGTATTCAAATTGAGGTATTTACCAACCAGTCACACATAAGTAGGCTCTGTGCTTCTCCCTTGTATATTTTACTTTTATTTTAGTACTGTTCTAGATGCCTGCCATGACTTATCCTTGGCATAGTCTAATATCATTAACGAATATGAACATTGCTTTCTGTTTACCTTCCTTTCATTCTTTCAAAACTATACCTGAAGTTTTGTTAGTAGTGTCAAATGACCTTAGCTTTCTTAGAGTATAAAGTATACTTAGTTTTATACTGTTGAACATTGAATTCTAAAAGAGATGTTTTTTCTTTTTTTCTAATAGTTGGATATTCTAAAAACCAAGCAATCGCACAGAGCACAGGGTCTTACCTTTGCTTTTTGGATTCAGTAAGTAGCTCTCTGTTTTGTTTATAGTAGCTTTGTGTATATTGACCAAATAATGATTGTGAATTTTAGTATGGTTCTTAAAATTTTAGATGTTATGATAAATCTCAAAAGTTTAATAGGTTGTTGCTACACACTGCCATTGCACTTAATTAACAATAAATAAGATTATATAAAAATGTGAAACAGGACCACAGAGAATATAAACAACATTAAAATAAGCACAGTACTAGTAAATATGATAAGAGATTAAGGTATAGAAATGGAAACAGTCCATGATAGCCAAAGCAAAACATGAAGCAGATTTATAGGTAGCGGTCAGGAGTAGACCCATAGATGACAGGTATACTTATACAAAGATTCAAATTAATCAAAGTTATACTAAAGTTTAAATTTGTAATCACATTAAGTTAGCAAGATACTTCCACAGAGCAAATTAAGTTTTCAAAATGTAGGTAGTATTTCATTGTGAATTGGTACTGCATTGACAGCATGATTGCACATTTTTGTTCAAGAACTTAAAATGCTTGTGCCTTTGACTTCTGATTTTCACGGTTGTTTATTATAACAGAAGTTAGAAACTGGTTTCTGTGTGCTGCCTGAGCACTGATGGAGAACACTAGCAGACTGTCGAAGAACTGTCACATTTATGGGGCATTCTTAGGAGCAGGACACTTGGTTGTAATGGGTGAACAGAGACTGTATACAAATTGTGCTGCCCTTAGGAACCCTGATAGCAAAGCAAACAAAGTGTGTTAAACAATGTAACTTTTATGTATCTAAATTATTTCATAGGTTGGGCTCCTGGATTCTTAGAAACCTGCATACCAGGGCCCATGTATATGTTGGCCATTGGCTTATACAGCTGTTACAAGTTTTGTTTCTGTTTCCAGTTGGTTATTCCAGGTAACACAGACCAGGAGGTGGAAAACCCCTCCCCCTTCATGCAAGGGACAGAAGGAGAATTGACCCACAGGGTTACCTTGGGAGGTCTGACATTTTGAAGTCAGAGTTCTGCGTAATGTCATCTTTATTGTATTTAGACAGCGTGCTTGTCCGTAACTTGTTGGAGGCAGATGTTGCCAGTTGGATGAGGAAGTGTCTCTGTGATTTTTGTATTTGACCTGTCCGTTGTAGTGTGAAATTATTTGTAAAACAGTGTTGGCGTTAGCTATGCAGAACCCACTTCAGCTTTCGGAAGCAGGTGAGGACTGTGGCTGTTTTTAGCCCCATGCATGTACCTGGCAGAAAGGATCTGTGTGGGCTGCTGCTCTGCTGAGCTTTACCATGACATTTCTAGCTTCACCTTCAAGTGTAGGAAACAGAAAACAAGCTGTTCATTCTGAGCCTGTGTGTAACTAACTAAGGAAGTTTATGAGAGACATGGAGGGAAAGAAAAACTGGGACCTGAGGCTCATGTCTCACTCCTGTCTTTTTTGGTTAGTTTTCTCTTGCTTTATAGCTAGCTCTATGCAGGGAACTACAAATTTTCATGTGAGTGTGTCTATAATTTAGGTGGACTTATGTTGTTTTAAGAGTTATACCAGGTGGTGGTGGACATACACTTTTAATCTCAGCACTAGGAGGCAGAGGTGGTTGGATCCCTGTGAGTTTGGGGCTAGCCTGATCTATAGAGCCAGTTCCAGGACAGCCAAAGCTACACAGAGAAAACCTGTCTCAAAAAAAAAAAAACCTAAAATAAAATGGAAGTTGCTCTGCTAAATTATAGAGGTCATACTTTTTATGATGTTAAAGTATGTCACAGTACCAGCCTCCCTCCATTAAAATAAGGTCCCATCTCTTCAAGCTTCCATTACTTCCCTGCAGTACTAAGCTTTGACACATGGGTATTGGGGAGATACTCCAGATCCAAAATACAGCACCCAGAAAATCTCATTTGTTTTCAGAAGTGATTTGATGGGCTGGTAGTCAGTATGAGGCTGGCCACCAAAAACTAGACTAGAGTAAGGAGCGTGGCACTTTTAGCTGCGGGTGTCAGAGGGGACCAGGGCTGGAGGTTGGACCTGGTGAAGCCTCTGTAAACCTTCATAAACAGAGGAGCTCAGAAAATTTCTGATTTGGACATGGTGAAAGTCCCAAAGGGTAACATACGCCAATCCCTTGGGCCTCACTGTATATACCTTACCATTTGGCTGTTCACCTGTGCCCTTTACTGTGTCCCTTCCAGTTAACTGAAAATGGAGTTTGTTTTTCACTCAGCCATGCAAACCTATCGCAGATTGCTTGAAAACTACTCATTTGTAGCCAAGTAACATGGCATCTGCATTGGGCATGTTCTTGAAGGGTATGAGCCTATAAGCCTGGAATCCGAGGATTACATTGGATGGAAAGTCCTAGCAGAGGCCTTCAGAGTTGCAGGGCTGCAGACATACAGAGATGAAGATAGCTCCATCATCCTCCTCAAGGTTCTTTGGAACAAACTAAGAAAGATGAAGTAGGACCACAAATATATGATTGATTATAGTGATGAGGGGGGGGGGGAATCGCAGCACATGTGTAGTCAACTCCAGCCTAAAGTAATTCAGAGTTTATATGCTGTTGCTTTGTGGGAGGCTAGGGAATGTGCATAGCTTGAGAGGAAGGGAGGTAATGTAGAGGAACTTCTGCTTTGGGGTATAGTCTCTGGGCAGCACATTCCGCTTGTCCCACAGAGTAGCAGTGGATTGCCAGTGGTTTACTGTGCCACACAGTGGCATGTGGTAGCTGTCTGTCTGGTATGCTGACATCCTGTGGCTTCTCTGTCAGAAGACTTTTATTTGGGATCCTCAGGGAATGGACCACAAGTGTTGGAGTTAGACACATAGGATCTTTGCAGAGAGACTGACCCACATGGCGAGGGGATCAGACCTGACTTACTGTCAAAGGCTACAGCAGGTTAGGGCTTGACAGCACTTAATGATAAGAGGAAAACCCAACACGTCAGAGTGCAGTGGGTCAAGGAACCCTTTGGCATATGCAAATCACAAAACCCTGCATTCAGAACAGGCTCAGGAAGTGATTGGGGTTGTTTCTCCCTAAGTTTCTACATCTCATCCAAAAGCCAAACACAAGGTGAGTGTGTTCTCTGTGGCTGGTCCAGTCAATGTCCCTAAGGTCTCTCTGCACCTGTCATTCTCAAGGGTACCTTGCTTGGAAAGATTTCACTGGAAGTCTGTCTATCATTTATTCTTAGAGTTCTCTTGACTAGCAGCCTTTCACCAGATACTTTTATGTCAGGATGGAATAGCATTTCATTCTTACTCAATGCTTCTTTAAAATGAGAGAGACACAGACAGAGACCAAGAGGCAGAGACTGAGAGGCAGAGACAGAGAGACAGAGACGAGAGATGTAGATGCAGAGAGAGACACAGAGACAGGGTTAGGGTTAGGGATAACAAACACCATGTGTATAGTTGCCCAAGAAGTTCAAAAGAGAATATTGGGTCCCGAGGAACTGGAGTTACAGGTGGTGTGAGCCATTCCATATGTTGGTGCTGGGAACTGAACTCAAGGCTTTAGAAACACAGGAAGTGCTCCTGACCATCTTTCTAGGCCCTCAGTACTCTTTCTACGATGCTTCCGGTTTCTTCTCTCAGGCAGCCCTATCATCCCTCAGTGGTGATTCCCTGATCATAATTGTGGGATTTCAGCCCCTCTGGGAATGTTGTGCATATCCTGGAATGCCAGGAATGATGTTTCAAATCTACTTCTCACTGAGGAGAAAGCTCCAGGTAATATTCCTTGGCATGAGCCCTGAGAAAATGTCCTCTGCTTTTATGGTTGGTGCCGACAGCATCTTGGATTTGGTCCATTAGCACCTCTACTCCACAATTCAAAATGCAAGCTGATTCCTGTTAACTGATCGCAGTGGTCTTGCCCACGAGGGAGTAGGAGCCAGTGGGTCAAGTTTGGCCTGCAAGAAGGGGAAATGGGGACCTTCTCCCTGCAGTAACACTTCTGGCCTGTTATCAAAGTTCTCCCTTCTTTTCATTTACAAAAAATAAAATAAAAAGACCTTTTTCATTCTCTAGTATCTGGTCCACCTTGTTTTCTATCTGGTGACCTCAGGAAAATAAAGACCTTATGTTGTTAGTCACCAGGCTCTGTAAAGTTTAATACCTGCTTCCCTGTTAACTTTTTGGATTGAATGTCTGTTCGCTACATCTTCTTTAGCTTCTCAGCTATTTGGCCAGTGTGTGTATTAATTCCATTTGTTCTCTCTTTGCTCGTATTGTAGTTGTTGACTCTTAAAAGCAGAAGTGGTAGAAATCACATTTGAATATTCTTTAGGTTCTTGAGAGCCAAACAATACTGACAGTTCATGATTTTTCGCATATATCCCCGAATTGTAACATTGGAATCTTGGTTAATTCCATGTGAATTAGTAAGAACCCAGACAAGTGGAGCAGCAAGGTGGTGTATGTGCATGTTTGTGTGTGTGTGTGTGTCTGTGTGCGTGTGTGTGTGTGCATGTGCAAGAGAGGGGTAGAAGTTGGGGGTATTAGTGTCTGTCCACTGATAAAAATGTTCCTCTCTCCCATACCCATCTTCACAGACATAAGCATCTTGCCACTTTTCTGTGCAGCCTTTAGTCCAGTCAGGTTAGCACAATAAATTAGTCATCACATGTCCACCCTTTGCTGACCTGGCACACATATGCATCTCCCTCAACAACACTTGGGTCCAGCCAGAGTTAGGTGGGGGTTGTAATACACAGTGAAACCATGCTGCTTATAACTGAACATTTGTAGTCTCTTCGTCAAAGAGGCATAGTCTTCAAGTGCTATTGAGTCTTCTGATGTCCCAAAACTGAAATGAGGAAAATAAGAAAAGGAAGAAAACAAAGATGTTTACCTAATGTGTTTATAACAAAATAAGGTATTATAACTCTGATAGCCTCATTTCTGTAATTGATCACATGGTCATAGTTATTATACTGCTCTCGAAGTCCACTCAGTGGGAAATGTAGTAACAACTGCTCTGATCAGTAAATCTAGGACAAATGAACAGATATAGTATCACTTCACATACTTAAATTCAGACCCTAGGAAAGTTGGCCATATTTGTTAAGTGCATACATAATGAAGACAGAGAAAAGTAAGGACAATGTGGCCCCAGAAGCCAAAACTTGAGGTCCCTTTGGGCAAGAAGTTGCTGGAAACAGTGTCAGGGCAGATCCACAAGGTGTTGGCAATAGGCACTTCTTTCTGTCTTCATTTCATAATTCTCTATCTCGTGATCCTTACAAAGCACCTCAGTGGAGTTGGTTCTTCAACTGAAAGGTGACTAACACCTTTATTCTGGAAATGGTCTGGGACATTGCCATACTACCTGGATTGTGGTGCTGTGGTTTCTTATTGGCCTGAACCACAGAGCCTGGTAATACTAAGAGACCCTTTTCCTAGTCTCCTTTGTAGAGAAGTCATCCGGTTCCCCCCAGTAGTCTGGGTCAGCCACCTTGGCATACACTATAACCCCTTTCTTTATCTGTTTATTTTTGGACATAAGGAGTCCAGAGTGGCAGGTAGCCCCTTAATTTCTGGTCCAATCAATTGTAGCATTATTTTTTAGAAGGATTTCCTCTGTCACCTACTCCCATACCCCATTAAGCACTTAAATCTTGGTCGATTATTTCTTTCATGATGCTACTTCAAGCAACTTCCTGCTTAGAGTGACCTGGGCTTGGGCTTTTGAGGCCACACTGCCTTCACTTCTCTTTATTGTTTTCATTATGTGTGCACTTAATAAATAATGTGGTCAACTTTCCTTGGGTTTGACTTAAGTGTGTGAAGTGATACTATATCTGTTCTCTTGTCCCAGATTTACTGATCTAAGCAGCTGGGACTGCATTCCCCCACTGAGTGGCCTTTGATAACAGTAATGGATGTAGTTTGTTTCTCCATCTGATGTTTATTGACATGAATGTTCTATGTCTGGAAAGTACTGCCCAAATCTTACTTGGGTAGAGGACCTTTTCTAAACAGATGGTGAAGTTGTTAAGTCTTAGGGAATCTTTACCTCCAGCTTTACTGGATGGTGCCAAAACATGTCTGAGAACAAGCATGATGCTTCACAGACACATGAGTGTCCTCGTTGTTCTTTATCCTGAGTACACTTGGACTGCCAGAATTTTCTCTTTTCCCACCAGTCATACAATGGCTTTTCCTTGATGACCAAGTTGGGTCCTGGTTTATGATCATCTGAGTTGCCTACTGACATTGTTTGCTGTTATGTTCTTGGACTTATGTGCCTTTCTTAGTATGTTAGAGTTGCTGTATGTTAATATAAAATGTGTTCTCTATACAGGATGATGTTATGATGCCCCAGAGAGTAAGGCTACAGCATGAAGCTGCTGTTCAGCACCCAACGAGTGTGAGTACAACACCCTTTCTGTGCTGTCACCATCTCTAATGAATGCTAGTCATTTTTTTAAATTGGGATTTTATTCCTTGGGATTAGAAATAATCTAATTTACAGTCAGATAGTCAGATCAGGGAGAGACTTGTGACTGCCATGTTTCTGAGCCTTTAAGTATACTTCTGGTTAGTGGCAACAGGAGTAGGAACTAGAGACAAAACTGATGTGGGATAATGCTCTTGTACACTGTAAAGATTTGTCACTCATAGTGGTTTGATGAAATGCTGATTGGCCATTAGCCAGCAGGAAGTATAGGCGGAGCTACCAGACTAGGAGAATTCTGGGAAGAGGAGAGCAGAGAGTGGGCCGCCAGCCAGACACAGAGGAAGCAAGATGAGAATGCCTTACTGAGAAAAGGTACCAAGCTAAACGTAGATAAGAATTGTGGGTTAATTTGTGTTAGCTGGTAATAAGCCTGAGCAATAGACCAGTTTATAATTTTTAAAAAATGGGTACCAAAATATTAAAAGGAGTTCTTAATTGGTCTAAATAATAAAAATGTGGAGTCAGATATAGAGGAAAATGCTGAGAGATGAGAGAGAAGGAGCAAGCGAAAGCCACCTTTACCTCCTTAGAGTCTCAGTTGACAAGAGAGTGAGTGCCCGTTTCTTTCTGCTTATATCCTCTTTCCGCTCAGCCATCTCACTTCCTGTCTGTCTATACAGACCTCCAGACTTCTATGGTTAGCTAGTGGCAAGCTCCATCCTCTGATCTTTGTACAAGCAAGATACCACCATGCTTGATGAATAAAACGCTGTTGACCAATAAGGCAGGAAGATAGGTGGGACTAGGAGATGAGGAGGATTCTGGGAAACGTAGGCAGATGGAGTTGCCATGAGGAACAGAGAAGATAGGACACACCAGGCGTTCTCCGATTAGATAAGGCCATGTAGAAATACTTAGATTAATAGAAATGGGTTAATAATTAAGACAGCACTAGCCAATAAGAAACCCTAGTCATTAGGCAACAGATATATAACTAAAAAAAAATCACCATATAAAACTACCTTGCTGCCTATAGAGGCCTAAGGTGTTCTTTTGCAAGAATGCCACTGAGATCAGAATTCTTAACTTCACCAAAGAAAAGGATTTCAGGACAAGTGACTATGAAGTAGAGTTGGAGTTTATTAGGAAGAGATTTTAACATAGACCCAAGCAGGGTGTTAATAGACGAGTATTTAGGTAAAGGTGTTATCTATACTTCAAGTATGGGCATAGACTTCAAGAGAATCATTTAAGGGTCTTACCAATAGCTATCTATATCCTGGATGAGGTGGCACACGCCTTTAATCCCAGCACTTAGAAGGCAGAGGCAGATATATCTCTGTGAGGTCCAGGCCAGCCTGGTCTGTGGAGTGAATTCTAGGATAGCTAGGGCTATGCAGAGAAATCGTCTGGAAACACAAAACAAAACATAAACAGAAGTGGAGCTTTTCTTTTGTCCTGACTGCTCAGTTCCAAGTAATCACACAAAAGCTTAATATGAATTATAAGCGGTTTGGCCTATTGCTCAGGTGTATTACTAACTAGCTCTTACAGCTTAAATTAACCCATTTCTATTGACCTACATTTTGCTATGTGACCTCATGGCTTTACCTGTTCTCTAACATGTCTTGTTCCTCTGGCTGCTGGCTCCCATCTCTCTCTCTCTGACTCTGCCCCTCTTTCTCTCTGTGTTTTCAGTTTGGCTTTCCTGTCTAGCCTTATTCTGCCATGCTATAGGCCAAATCAGCTTCTTTATTAACCAATGAAAACAATGCATATTTATAGCATTCAAAAGGATTATCCTACTGCAAAAACAAAACAAAAAAATTGCTATACATATAATTTTGGTGGCTTCTGAAGTTACATTGTTTAAAGGATTCTAAGAAATTCTTTTATCTTTCCTTTTTTGTTTCTTTTGTAAATGAGGTCAGAGGGTAATTCCTGAGGTGCGTTGGACAGGAATAAAAGTTAATAAGGTAAAACCATAGGCCAGAAGAGTTCAAGGGATATTTACTATATTAGGTTCCTGGGAGTTAAGACATGTTTTTACTGTAAACAAAGTTTACACTATTCTCAGAAAATTGAAGTTTCACAGCTGGAAAAGGAATAGGCCAAATGCAACAGGGTCATACATGCTTATAGACCTTCAGCACGATCTGTTGTCATTTTAACTCTTACTTGAAATATCTCTGTATAAAAACAAATCGTCCCTGTGTAGTTAACCTTCGCAGCAGACTTTTATTAATTATACTGGAATTCTTGACTCTCAGCTAGAGAAAGACTTCAAGCAAACTCCATCTTGGGTGAAAGGGGGTCCTTTCTCTTCTATGTCCCCTTAACATTCACTGTCTTTCTATCCTGTCATTTTGGAAAGCAGTTGTCACTTTGAAACAGATAGATTTCTTTCACCTTTCCCTCTCCCTTTGTCTCTCTCTCTTGCTTGCTTTATGATGCAGTGGTGTCTTTCCCTTGTAGCCAGCCACTTACCCAGGACAGGTATTTGCTTCCTTCTAGGGAGTTCGACTCCATGTGAGGTCAAATTGGACTACACCCGGCCTTTACTTCCATATTACACTGGTCCATTCAGAGGGGAAAGCTCGTAAAAAAACAGCCTTCCCAAAAGATACTTTTGAGGTATCAGGGAATTACCACCAGGGCAACTGGTTATCCTCCAACAGGCATTGTTCTGTGAATTCTGACTGTAACTCACATAGTGTCTGCTTTTACTAAATTGGCACCTTTTACTTATTTCTCACCTTCCCCTCCCTTTGATCCCGAGGACTAGTCACTGGAACTTGAGTGTGTAGGCACAGACCTCAGGCCTGCCTTTCCTGGTGTAGGGAGTTGCCTTTCCTGGAATTTGAAGTCCGAGGCTGAAGACTTAATGTAACCTGAGCTTCAGTTGTTGATACTGTGGAATATACCTGTAAGACAAAAGGGAAAATCATGATAGTCCTGGAGAGGTCCCTGGGCAGAGGGTGGTAACTTTATGTCCCATATGGTAGCTCTGTAACTTTTGGGGGTGGGGTTGTTCTAAGTAGGGTATGTGACCAGATCAGCCCCTATTACTCAGACAGCCTGCCTCATTCTGTCTTTCCAAGCCCATCCTACCTAACCAACCCTCGAGGCTGCTTCCAACCATACAACCACTTCTCTCTGCATAGAAGGTAGATGCTGAGATTTGCCATGGGAAATCTCAGAATAGTATAGTTTTAGGGCAGGGACACAAGCTACTCTGCCCATGTAGGCAGTAGTGTGTGTTAGTGTGAGAATAGATGGAAATACAGAATATGTTCACTGCCTTCCTAGGAGCAGAGGGGACCAATGTAGCTACCTTCATGTGATTACAAAAGGTTCTGAGGGACTCAGGACTCCAGGGTGTGTCTGCAGCACTTCTGTGAGGTATGTTTTTGTGAGGAAAATGAAGATCTATAACATTCATTATGTCCTGAAAGGGTTGTGAGACAGCAAAGGAACCACAAATCATAGTGTTCAGTGACCACAGACTCTAGAAGTTGCTTTTTTAAAGTTCAAAGGAATAGAATATTTCATTTCTCCCCTTTCTAACTGGGAAAGATGTCGGAAGATGTCCAGCAGTGTCTGACGGTGTGTGCTGTCATGGAGCCTATGGGAACTCCATTTACACCACGCAGTGGTGTCCTTCAGCTCCCTAGGGTGGAATCACTAGGTCTCACCCAACAGTTCAGGGTTTGCTACCCCAGCCTCCAAAGATGTTGGCAGGCTCCTTATCATATGGAAAAACAGACTGTTTTCTGGTGTGGTATGTTTGTTGGGAACAAGTCCCATCCAACGTGGGTTTCTGTGCTGTGTATATGAAGGTTACTTAAAGGCTAGGATTTGTAGAAGTTCCTGCCCAGTGGCTGACAGTGAGATAATGGTGGTCGTGGAAGTCGGAGAATGAAGGACAAGTGCAGCATCAGAATTACACTGCCCTGAACTGGGCCTGCTTGCTGCCTCTGACTCTGTGAGACATGTCCCTCAGTGCTTTACCTGTCCCAACAATCACACCCCTCTGAAAGGGAGGCACACAAGCCTGTCTCTGCCCCAGCAGAAAGCAGGTGCCTGTGGATCAGGTTTTCATGTAAGATGCCATGTGTTTTACTCAGAAATGAGAGTTTCCAATTATTTTGATACTGTATACACTGGAAACTTGTAAAGAATTTTGTAACAAGTATTGATGTTTTAGAAAGCTGTATTCTGTTCAAATGTCTTAAACTCTTTCATTTCTACCCAATACTAAAACTAAGCAGACTGGCTGCATTAATGAACATAATTCCGCAGTTTTTGTACCATTCATTGAAATGAACCGTGATATTTAGAGATGTTCAGCAATTTAAAAATAAAACTGTGACTTTTTCTCATAGTTAAATCAGCCTTGACTTCATTTTTTTCAATGTTGCTTTAAGTTCCGGATTATGACTTTTCTTGCTCAGCCTCATTGAATTCTTAGATACTCTGTCTCTCATTAAGTAGAGAACCTTGTTGCGCATTTTCCTCCCAACCTGAGAGTCTGGTGACGTACATCTGTTCTTTCTCTCCCTGACTCAGTATGTCCAGACCATTGGCTCTGTAACATAAAATTAGCCTGAGAAGAAGAAGTGACTGTGATTCTGGGTTTGAAATCATGGCTTACAAAGTCCTAATCTGTAGTTGCTGGTTGGTGGCTATGTTGATTATTATGCTTAGTTTGTTCAGAAGGAATGAAATGAATGTTGGCAATATGATCCTACCCAGTTGTTACTTCTTTTTAGGCCATTTACAAGAAAACCACTTACATAGGAAGGGAAGACCCCTGATGGCAGCTGTTATAATGTGTTCCATTGTTCAATCACTGCAGAATTGTTGGGTTTTATGTTTTAGGCATTATTAGCAGCTCTAAATGTAATTTATTATTATTATTATTATTATTATTTTTAATTCCTATCATCCGTCTCCTGAACCTTTGCAGCTTAAACTGGTAGGATAGTGTGGAAAGCCTCATGCTGGCTCAACAGGATCCCCAGTGCCTTCCCACTGGATTCCTGAGCAGAGGCATGAAGGAAAGAGTGGTGGTAAACACTGGGTGTCAGGGATGCCAAGGGTGAAGGCAGGAAAGTGACATCATCTCACCTGTGTGGCCCACTACAGTCAAGCATGGTGGTGAGTGGCCTCAGTACTAGCTGGCTGATAGTTCTTTTTGGAATCCTTGTATATAGGAAGTGAATGTCATCTGTTGTCAGTGTCAGTAGTATCCAGTAGGCTCCAAATATCATGCTCAATATTAGAAATAGGCACAAGAACATTAGTGTAGATGAGCCTTCCTCTTCCAGGGTCTGTCTCTACAGGGTAAGCTTTCTCATTAGGAAGTAGTTTCAAAGCATTTCCTATCCTTTCAAATCCCTATCTTTGAACTCTTACCTACTGAATGAGACAGGAGCTTCCCCTACAACTACAATTGACCCTCATTTAACCTATGAGGTAGGAGCTTCCCCTTAGGTGGACTTTTCTTTCCTGCCATCCAGTTCCCAAATAACTACACAGAGACTTACTATTAATTATAAATGCTAAGCCAATAACTCAGGTTTGTTACTAACTAGCCCTTATATTTTAATTAACCCATATTGTTTTAATTTAAAAAAAAATAGCGTGTGACAGAGCTAGGGTGGAGGGGAGCCGGGAAGAGGAAAGGGGGAGAGGAGGAGGGGAGAGGAGGACATGGGGGAGCAAGATTAAGTCGGTGGAAGAATAGAGGAAAACAAGATGAGAGGTACCATAATAGAGGGAATCATTATAGGTTTGGGGAGGGACCCTCTGTGGGGAATCACCAGAGTCTGCCATTTCATCCAGGGCAGGGCCCAGGTCCTTCCCCAAGAGATCAGGCTGAGAGAGCATCCCTCATTGTGGGAGGGGCACCCAGAGTCCATTTGTATGCCTGGGACAAACACCAATCTACCACCCAAGGCCCCATAGATTGTCCAGGACTCCTCGATGACACCCACATTCTGGGGTTCTGGATCAGTCTCATGCTGGTCTCCCAGCCATCAGGCGGGGGTCCAAGAGTTCCCCCTTGTTCAGGTCAGCTGTCTCTGTGGGTTTCACCAGCCGGGTCTTGACCCCTTTGCTCACCATTCCTCCCTCTCTGTCGCTGAGTTCCAGGAGTTCAGTTCAGTGTTTAGCTGTGGGTGTCTGTCTCTGCTTCCATCAGTCACTAGATGAAGGCTCTAGGATGGCATATAAGGAAGTCATCAAACTCATCATCAGGGATGGGCATTTAAGGTAGTCTCTCCACTATTGCTTAGTTTACCAGTTCATGTCATCCTTGTAGATCTCTGGAAATCTCACTAGCGCCAGGCCTCTCCCCTTATCTGGGGTACCATGCATATCTCTCTTAGGGTCCTACCTGATTCCGAGACTCTCTGACGGTGGGATTGTAGATTGGTACTTCCCTGAGCCATGTCTAAAACGATGGAGTCATATTCTAAGGGAATGTTTTATGAGATTGAGTGTGTTCACTATTAAGACACTTCTTGGGACTGTCCCATATGGGATTGTCATTCTGTTCTCTCTTCCTCTTGATGCCAGGGATTTTTTTTTCTTAAATCAGCCCCCAATTTATGGGTATCACACTTACTTATAAAACCTTAAAATCTATTTGTTGTTGTTTTCCACAGATCATAGGATGCCAAGTAAGGAGAGACCCTCCAGACTCTACAGAGCGATACACTCGTTGGATCAACCAGTTGACATCTGATCAGCTGTTGACACAGGTGACAACCACTGGGTGTTTGACCACTTATAGGCTCAACTGTTTCAGGTTTTAGTCCCCTGGGACTATGTCCAACTTCTTGACACATTCTGCCATGGTATAGTCTTTGTATCTTTAGTTATCTACACACTATTAGACAGTGTCTAGCTGGAACATACCCATGTTGTTTTGAGCTTTGATGGGTCAGTCAATGTAGGACAGTATCCCAGGTACTGTTGCTTGGAATCCAAAGAAAGCATTTTAGTCTCTGCAGTGTGTCTTTAACATGTCCCAGGTAGCTATGCATAGAGTTAGAAGCCACAGTGGCCCCAGAATTAAATACAGTGGACAAAGGGTGGCTGTGACTGTGCATGAAGAGCAGATATAGAAGCAGATAGACGATGGCTGTAATATTGGTATGCTAGTATGAGACCAGACATAGTTTCACCTAGTAGCCACTGACTTAGGTCTCACCAGTTCTGTTAAGTAGGATTTGTGGGCATCATGGAGTCAATGATTGTGGTTTTCCTCTGTGGGGTTCCCTGTCTATCCCCCCAGGCAGGCAGAGATTGTGTTGTCACCTTGTGTAGAGGCAGTCAAGGCCCAGCATCTGCCACAGAGCCCTGGCTTCATGTTGCTGTCACAGGATTGAATGCTGTGAATAGGAAGATGTGCTTTAAGTGAATTTTTGAGTGTTCGCAAAACTGACTGCCTCATGCAACTGCCCCTGAGAGCTGTAAGGTAATGCCATACCAGCAGAACCAGTGTGCACTCAGTGTATCAGTGTGGCATACGTGGTGGCTGCTAGGGACCCCTGCTTATCCCTTCCTCATTCAGTGACATCCCTCTAGGTTCAGAGTCAATCTTAATAAAAGAGAAGGGAAGGGTCTGACTATCTGCCATGTGTTTGGGTTTCTTATATAGCCCTTACTGCTCCCATAGTACCTGCTCTTATAAACTCTTTTTTTAATTTTTTTTCATTCATTTTACATTCCCACCACAGTCTCCCCCTCCCTTCTCTTGTTCCCTCTCCCCACCTCCCTTATACCCCTCCTGCATCCATTCCTCCTCCATCTCCATTCAGAAAGGGGCAGGCCTCCTATGGGAGTCAGCAAAGCATGGCACATCAAGTAAAGGCAGGACTAAGTGCCCCCCCTCCAGTATCAAGATTGGACGAGGCAACCCATCATGGGGAATGGGTTCCCAAATCCAGCATAAGCGCCAGGGGCAGAACTGTTAGTTACTGGGATAAATGTAATGTGTTAGAGGTGCTGGAGGGCCAACTGGGTAAATCCTTTTATCTCCTGTTTACAGAGCGTGCTTTCTCTAAAAATTGTTTTCTAAAGTTGGGAAATACTAAATATACAGATGTACAGAAAACAAGGCCGTGTTATAGATGGCCCCAGGCCTCGTCAGCACATTGTATGCTACTGAGGCATGACACCATGCCCAGGCCTCATATGCTTTCATTTTATATATAATCATTGGAGAAAGGTCTACTTTTTTCTTAAGGATCCATATGCTTCAATATGTGTAAAGTTACTGTGAATATGCCCTGTACCCTTCTCTTTCTGGGGTTCTAACATGCCTGGTACAATGTCTGTTTCTCTATTTTTTGTCTTTGCTGGCAGAACCTGAGTCTTCAGTTCTAATAGACACCCTAAAGAGCTACCTAGAACTCAGTTTTATTGTTTGTAAATGTGAGGGTTTCACCAATAGGCCTAGTTCTTTTCATGGCTGACCATACAGTAATCCATTCAGTTGAAGATCTTTAACAAAATTAATAGAGGAAAATTACAGCCTTTTCTCTGAACTGTCCATGCCCCTCCTAGCTGTTCACACCCTTCTTTCTTGCTATGTGGTCCCCATGCTGTAGGTTCTGGTGACCCGGGACCCTATTGTCTGTAGCCATGAGAGGCCACTAAGGCCTCTTGCTCACCCAGCAATAACTGAGACTCTTGTGAACAGGTAGAATGAGGACCATGGACATGAAGCAAAGAGGAAAAGACAGACAGGCATTCATTCCAACTGGGTGGCACCTACCCTCCTTATGTTCTTTGTGTTACAACAGAAAAATAGACTTTACCTAGGACATGATGGCTTACTTTGTTTCACTTAATTGAGTGTTTTAAGGTTTTTTTTTAAACCATAAAATGTGTTTGACCAAGTGTTTTACTGTTGATGGCAAAAACCTAAGAGCAAACTTCAGACTAGGACTTTGGAACAGAGTCAGAGAAAGTGAGGTCTTGCCTGTGAACTCCGAAGCAACAGTTTAAGAAAACGGATTGTCTGATTTCCCATAAAGGGAAGGTAGCCTTGCATGAAGGAGGTAACAAAAGCAAACAGGAAAGGGAGGAATCATTGGTGCGGCCATCAGTGCCACCAAAGCTCTCCTCCCTGTTTCCTGTTCCCTGTACTCCGTAGTCTAACCTGTGTGATGCCCTCACAGCCTTCACCCTTCCCATTTCTCTCCTGACTTTCTACTCCTTTCCCTCTTACCTGTCTCCCTTATTTTCTCCATGTCTATGGCCCTCATTTTACCTGTCTATACCCCTCATTCCTCCTAGTTTATTATACTCCCTTTGCCTGATTAAAATCCCTCTAACCTGTCCATAGCCTTTTCTCTTAACTGCCCATGCCCCTCCTGGCTGTTCACACCCTTCTTTCTTGCTATGCTCCTGCCTGTTCACACTTTTCCAGAATTCTTACCTGTCCCCTTCCTATGTATGGCTTCCCTTTTTTTTTTTTAACCCCCTTCCTGTCTCTTACCACACTCTTCACTCTGCCTGTTCATTTTTCACTCAATGCAATACCCAAATGTAATTTCTTGAGCTGGGTTAGACCTGCTTCCTTGCAAGTCTGTGGGGCCTTACGCTGAGTGCCTTATGACTGTTCTACTGTCCTTGACTCAGCTTCTTGAGCATCAGTGCAGTTGTGTCTTCAAGACCACCGTTACCTAGCCTCATGTGAGCAGGTAGTATAGGCCTAAATCCTCTCAGCTGCACTTTACTGACTTGGGCTCCAACATCAATCCCGAGACACCTCTCCTCAGCCTAGGCCTTGTGGGATATTCTAAAGTCCCTACGCATGACCTTTCTGCAGTTTGAGCCTAAACACACCTGCATGGTTTCCTCCTTATTTCTTACCTGCTCCCCAAGTTTTCCTCCAGGAACTGTTCTCCCTAGAGTTAGTTCTGTGAGGTTCTTTAGGACTAACTGCTTTCTCTGCTGTATGTTTGCTAACTCTCTACCTTCTGCATTTCAAATAAAATTATCTTAGCATTTCTACCTCTGTCAGCTTATAGAGTGGGTGGCTGAGGGTATGCTGCTCATGTGTTGGCTGAGGCTCTCTACGAAGCTGGCAGCTCAGCATTTCTGGTCTGCCCTTTGGTCCTTGTGCCTCTGATGTGGTCACTGGCTATTAGGGGCACAATAGGATTGTCTGTAACTTAGTAGAAGTTGCTTGGCAACAATAAATAAATCCCATTTCCGTAAGAAACTCTTTTCTTTGAAATTTTAAACTTGTCTTATTTCACTAAACACAGTGTTTTCAGAGTTTATCCGCACTGTAGAAAGCACAGAGCCTTATTTCATTTTAAAGCTGCCAAACAGTCCATCATGTGTATTCTCTCTGTGTTTTGGTAGACAGCAGGTCTTCTTTGCCTTTTGGTGATGGGGAGTAACACTGCTGTGAGTGGCTGGTATGCATTCTCTGAGTCTCGGTTCAGTTCTGGGATTATAGCACGGGAATGGTATTGCTGGGTGAGATGGCAATTCTGAGTGCTTTTGAAGAACTCCTCCCTTACTGCTTTCCACAAAGGCTGACGGTTTGATTCTTACACTGACAGTGAAATACATTCTCCTGTTCTAGGAAGCATCTTTGTTCTTGGATGTGTGTGGAGGATACTGATAAAATAAGAAACAAAAGTGGCACTTTAAGATGTACGTGGGAAGCAGCAGCCCTGATGCAGGACTGTGTGTGATCCGCCCTTGCAGTAATGTGTGGTCTGAAATGGTTCTCTGTACTGAGATGTTTATTTCCTCTTTCTCACCTGTCTTGGGGACAGAGATATAATCCCTAGTATTTGCATAGGGTCGGATAAGGCGAGATAGCACCAAGGCCCTCAGGAATCTGTATATTTACAGGTGGAGACCAGAGCTGCACTTTCATGTGTTCTGAGACCACTGTCCTAGAGAGAAATGCCAGGGACCAATTAGTTAGCTTGTGGCCAAAAACTGACACCAACTGTTTACTAGGCAAGAAACTAGTGGTGATGGCCAGCCTTCAAGTAATGGGGGCTGCCTACCTGACCCCTGGAATGTAGTTTATGAGCCCCAAATTGGGATTAAAGCAAATAGCTCTGTGTCAGCTTTAGGGTATGACTGGGGTCCTGTCCCCACCACAGGCCCTACCCACACTAGGGCAGCACCTGATCCAGTAGAACATATCTTCCACAGGTAATCCAGACCCTCTCGTTTCTAATTTCAACTGTCAGAACCTTTTCATCCATCATTAGTTCCATAAATTTTGAGACTTTTTGTTTGTTTGTTTGTTTGTAAGCCACGAAATATGGCAATCTGGTCTTGTCAATATAAGTGAATGGACAAGCTTAAGTTTAAAAATCTGAACTAAGCCACCCATGTCAGCCGGACAAAACCAGTTCTTTGGAAATACTTTCCTTTGCTTATGTTGACCTCAGTGGTAAATGCCCCTGTCCTTGGACCTGAGCATATTGACATGGTGTTCATACATATAATGCCACCATGGGACACAAGGTATCCACAGAGCACTAAAACATGGCTGCATGACGATGTTTGCCATCCACAACCTTTGAGAGGGGTTTCTCTGTATCTGAGTGTGGTGAAAAGGACCCTCTGGAAACCAGGTGCTTCCCAAACCTTTGGGAGAGACTCCTCAGCTCAGGTGACTAGCATTCACAGGTACCACGCCACTGCCTTCAAGCCACTGTCAATTTGTCTAACATTTAAAACTGCTTGTGGGTGGCCTGATAGCATCTATGCT